GAAGCGTAAGCGAGGAGCCAGGAGTGATGCATCATCCAGTGCCGACTTGTCCGCGAAGGCTGTCTACCCGACCACCAAGACAGACGACTTCTATGGTAGAGGGTCGGACTCCGAGGAAGAGTGTGCGGGTGACGGCGGCCGCGGTAGGAGCCGTCATGAAGTGGTGCAGTGAACTGCACCTTGAAATAGTATGCTTGAACTGCCTGTGTATTTTTTGTTTTAGGTTTTGGATTAGTTTCTAGATGTAGTGCTTCCTTATAGATCGACTAAATGAATCCACAATTACATAGAACTACTGTCGGTCGACAGAAGTCTTGTAAACTTGCTTTTCTGAATGTATGCAGCCTTAGAAAGAAGTTAGGAGAAATCCAAAACTTCATAAACTACCACAATGTAGATATCTTCGGCATTGCTGAAACTTGGCTTGATTGTTCGATTTCTGACTCATCCATTCATATACCTCATTATAGACTCTTTAGGCGCGATCGCGGGCAGAGACCTGGTGGCGGTATAGCTGTATACAGTCGAGATACCCTGGCTGTTTCCAGACACGCTGAACTCGAGAGTGACACAATCGAAAATCTGATACTCACCTTGAAGACAGAATCCGGTGAACCCTTCACCCTCGCTACGTTCTACTTTCCGTCTTCCACTTCTGCTGCAGTATGGAAAGACCTAGAAATCAGTCTGAACAATCTAACCTTGCGACGAAACAACCGCGTGGTCACCATTGGTGACTTCAATGTGGACATGTGCTCGGGACACAGCCGGATGCACACCATGCTCCAGCGGTTTGATCTGGAAAACTACATCCGGACACCGACAAGAGTAACGGCATCAACTTCCACCCTAATAGATCTGCTCCTCGCCCCTAAGTCTCTAGTTGGAACATGCACGGTCATCAAGTGTGACATCAGCAACCACTACGCATTTGTGGCCAACATTATCATCGCCACCCGGCAGTCCGAACGAGTCGCATCTCGAAAGAGGCGAGTGTGGAGGATAAACTGGGAGCACTTTAACGCTGACTTGCAGGACTGCAATCTTGAGATTTTCAGCAAGTCGAATGATGTTGATGCAATGATAAGCGAATGGTACGCAAAGGTTTTTACTGCTCTAGATCGTCACGCCCCCTTACAACCTCCTCGTAAGCCGAGGCGCCGACCTTGCCCATGGTTGTGTCCTGAACTTGTATCTGCTGTGCGTCAACGAAACAAGGCCCACCGACTTCTTTCACGCTCTCCAAACGATGTCCGCCTGCGAGAGCAACACCGCACTCTCCGCGCAGCCGCGCGCAAGCTAGATCGGAGGCTAAAGGATCAGTATTTTCAAGCTCGCCTACAGTCGGCCGGAAAGGATGGACGGAAGCTCTGGAATATGATAAACATGGTGACTGGACGAGCAAAAAGTTCAAGCCCACCACAAGTACCTGTTGGAATCCTCTCCCGCACTTTTGCCAGTTTTGGCGAAGTTGTACATGACCCTGGAGATATGTGGATTTTGTAGAAAAAAAACCCTGGACGACCAGACGCGCTGTGCGCCAACGCACCAGCCGAATGTGAAGCAACAGCATTTACGGAATTTGCGCCTGTTTCGACGGAGGACATTACGGCCCTTCTCCAGTCCGTTGACGCATCAAAAGCGACTGGACATGATGACTTGCCGGGTATTGTCCTTAGAAACTCGGCATCAATACTGGCTCCCTCGCTCACCATGATTTTCAATACTTCGCTATGTCAGGGGTGTGTTCCCCATCAGTTTAAAATTGCTAAAGTGTCGCCGCTATTCAAAGGTGGCGGCCTTGACCCTTGTCAGCCTACTGCGTATCGACCTATTTCTCTACTACCAGTCGTTTCTCGCCTCCTCGAGAAGATCCTCAAAGCTCAGCTTACATCCTTTCTGACCGATCACAGTATTCTCCCTGACTCGCAGTTCGCGTACAGGAAGAACTACAGTACGGAGGACGCTCTTGTGCTAGCTGTCAATCGCTGGCTGAAAGCGAAGTATGAGCGCAAACTCAAAGGTTTGATATTCGTGGATATGTCGAAGGCTTTCGACTGTGTCAAACACACCATCTTGGCACAGGAGCTATCCGACATTGGGGTCGGCGGTACTGTCCAGCTATGGTTCACTAGTTACCTGAGTGAGCGGCTTCAACGCGTAGCTGTGGGCGGAAATTGCTCGGAATACGTCGCATGCAGTCGAGGGGTGCCGCAAGGATCCGTCCTCGGCCCCCTCCTGTTCACACTATACATCCGTAACCTTCGATGCTGCTTGCCCCAGCAGGTCACAAACCAGGAATTTGCAGACGATATTGCAATTGAAGCCTCGGGCAGTTGCGAACAGGTGTGCTCTTCTCTAAGCACAGCCATCACTGGCCTGTCGCAGTGGTTGGAGGACCGCGGACTAATGCTGAACCAAAAGAAAACGTAAGCTCTGTTGATTACCCCAAGAGGCCCAGCCCCTGACACAGATAACATTCGAACTCGCTGTGGGAATGCAGCCCTTGCAGTTGTGCAACAAGCCCGGTCCCTGGGCGTAATGGTAGATGGGCAGCTCTCCTGGGAGCCCCACGTCAATCACACAATCCAGCAGGTGCGGAAGTCAGTAGGTGCCCTGTGGCGGAGCTGCCGAAGCCTCACCCTGGTGTCAAAGATCCTGTTTTACAGGTCGATGATCCAGGGTAGGTTGTCGTACGCTTCCAACGCCTTTTATCCGTCACTTCAAATTGGCAACATGGAGCCCCTCACACGTCTAACGAAGTGCGCTATCCGCGGCTACTTCGGTCTGCCACCGTGGTCGCGCACCAGCCCGATCTTTGAACAGCTCCGCCTCACCACCCTGGAGGACATGTTTAACATTAAGCTCCTCATCTTTGTCCGTCGTTGTCTGTTCTCCCGAGCTAGCTTCCTCTTCACCAGCTTCTTCGTGAGAGTTACTGGTGACCGCACTCGGGGAGCAGCACATCACCTCGTTCGAGTACCATTTTGGCCCGGTCCTGCGGGTCGAGCAACCATGCAGTTCATCAGCGCAGTCCTGTGGAACCAACTCCCGCCTGATCTCCGTTCCGAGCCCAGCCACCTTCAGTTCTGTGCCGTGCTAAAAGCGCATCATGGTTCCGTTTAAATGCTTTTCGGCTAGTGTGTTTCTGTGGTATAGTGGACTGAAGAATAGTAAACGTGTTTTGCAATATATGTATGACGCTATTTTGTATATAGTATGTTCCCATTCCGTTTTTGCTTTGGTGTAGCCCTGAGGTTGATTTGCTTATTTATTTCTACCCTTCCTCTCTCCGTACTTCTGTTCCCCCCCCCCTCTCTCTCTCTCATTCCTTCTGTCGTCCAACTGTATCAAAGGAGGCGAAATCGCCTGTTTGTGGTGCGACGTTAAATAAACTTCTACAACAACAACAACAACAACAACAACAATAAACATTACGCTTGATAGCGCTTTCTGCAATCCATAAACTGTTGCCACCTAGCCGCCTTTTCAAATATTTTGAACCAACAAAAGCATTATAAACTTAGAAGTTGCGACTTCGGCGGTAATAGTCATGAAGTTGATTGTTCCAACTAAGAACACACGCTTCTTGCCGAACTTGACACTTGACTGACTCACGACTGCCATCCGGAGCACACGAGGAGCAGGTCGCACCTTCCACTCGGCAAACCTGCAAGAAAGCACCACTCCCTGCTCAATACACGGTGTTTCGGGGAATTCACCCCTCATCAGTTGAGCTTGAGTAGGCTGAGGAAGATTGTGCCTGAAAAGCACCACTTATATACTGCTCTCCAGGCCAAACCATCACCAGGGACACAAACTTACAGAGACGCTTTGTTTCCAGCGCGACAAACACCTCGTGAAGCTCCAGGTAGCAGCGTGAGTCAGAGTCGCTCATGGAGTTGTGATAAACAGACGTTGAGAGCCAGTATAGCTATTCGCAACGCTGTCACCTCCAACAACTAGTCGCACGTCCACGTGAGGGACAACAATACGAACTTAGAAGTTGCGACTGTGTTAAGTTTGGCAAGAAGCGTGTGTTCCTAGTTGGAACAATCAACTTCAAAAGCATTATAAATATAATTATATTACCGCGATAATTCCGTAAGTGCCTCGGAGCTGAAACTCATGTACATGTATAATGCTGAATACTCACTCTGCGGACAGAACTGTTCTGTCCTTTGTGGACTCATTAGCGCAGCAGAGAGAAAATGAGGCCGAACCTGATTGCAATGAAATATAAATTTTCCAACGCCAGATATAAATCAGGCCCGTACGTACCTTGCCAGAGTGCTCAAACTGACAAGTCAGTTAGCTCTGCATGATGCAAACACCAAAGGCAATACCCCACATGAGAGTGCTCAACTGCTTCAAGAGCAGGAGCGAAATACTGAAACTGCGGGCAGAACTGTTTCGTACTTTGTGAACTCATCAGCGCAGCACAGAGGAAATGAGGCCGAACCTAGCCTGGCCTGGCAGAACTATAATGCGGGATATATTGCGGCATTGCCCGCTGGCCCTAGTAGTTGCATTATTTTCGTTTTAACTAAAATAATGCCAAGGTCTTTCATGTAAGAAAAGTGTTGGCTCTCCACACCAGAGCTCCCCCCTTTCCACCTACTTGACCGTAATATAATAATATTCAGTTATTTGTCAGCCTAGTCACCTCTCCTGATAACAGGATAGTTCAGCATGTATCCAGTTGTGTTTAGGGCCCGGCGGATTCTGCCGGCAGAAAAATCGGCAGAATTCGGTACTTTTTCTGGTAAGTTTATGCATGTTTGGTATGTGGATAAAAAAAATGGAGCAGAATTCGAGGAATTGCCCGCCATAAGGTTTGTATGGTTCTGCCAATTTCACTGCTTTTCGAGCAGAATCTGCCACCTTTTTGAGCAGAATCCGCCGGTCCCTAGTTGTGTTTGAACATTGCGATTTCCCTTTCCCCGGTTGGGCGGTGTTTTTGAAATAAAAAACAACAACACGACGAGTATATTCCTCACTTTCTTGTCTTGAGCTTGAAGGGATGAATTCAGTGACGTCATATCGTCCTCAATTGACAGAAATTGCCTTGTGTTCTGCGATGAGAAGAACAATAGATATTCTAAAAATCCGGCGTACAGACCAGAATTGTGGTAAGGCTAGAAAGAGTGTGCGCACAGTCATATCATGACATGTATTGATGTTGAAGTTGAAGACACCACTGCAGCTGTACTTATGGTTGATAAATATGGTGGTTAAGACACACCTGGCAATATGGCGGTAAACACACGCCTGCCCACACACGCTCTGTAGGCTGCAAAGTTCTGGCACAGAGCTCTCCTTCTCACCACCACCACCATCAGTTCGCGCCTGGCGCCTGGTCGCTGCATGGCTGGCGGTATCCGGCATAGCAGGCTGGTACATCAAGTAGCGCATGGCACATAGACGATGACACAGCAACGACATAGCTCGATTGCGACGTACGTTTCGCACCCGCTGGACTCATCAGGCAATCTTCTTCTTTACCGCCATATTGCCAGGTGTGTCTTTACCACCATATTTATCAACCATAAGTACAGCTGCAGTGGTGTCTTGAACTTCATTCTCCCGAGTCAAGCTCCGTATGAAGACATCCAAGAAGAAGATTGCCTGATGAATCCAGCGTGGACGAAACGTACTTCGCAATCGAGCTATGTCGTTGCTGTGTCATCATCTATGTGCCATGCCCTACTTGATGTACCAGCCTGCTATGCCGGATACCGCTAGCCATGCATCGACCAGGCGCCAGGCGCGAACTGATGGTGGTGGTGGTGGTGGTGAGAAGGAGAGCTCTGTGCCAGAACTTTGCAGCCTACAGAGCATGTGTGGGCAGGCGTGTGTTTACCACCATATTGCCAGGTGTGTCTTTACCACCATATTTATGAACTGTGTTGATGTTCTATTATTATAGTATTACTGCCTGCACACTCTTTCTAGCAGTACATATTCTGTAAGCTATGGCGGTCAATCCTTGCGAATGTGCTCAACAACAAGACAGCAGAGAGCAGAGGAAACATTCCCAAGTTAGCAATCAAACGAGGTTGTGATTAAGAACCTGATTTCTCAGCCTCGCTACATTGCTAACTTGGGTGTGAATGAGTAGAGCGTAAAAGGCAGTGAATATGCGCTGTGGGATATAAACATTAAACGAAGAACCCAGTCTACACTAGCCTCCGTTTCTTTTCTTTCTGAAATATGGGTAAAGAGAGAATAAGGCAAAACGAACCCGGAGAATGATAAGGACACTCAACTTGCATTGATTGATTCACAGTTCAAACTGTACTCACATCAAATCACTGGTGGATGAGTTGGGCACATGATCTTTCAAAAACTCAAAACTGTTTTTTGGAAATGTTTCGAACTTCCACAGGAAAAGTTGCGTGAGTTCGCCGAAGCCCTGATCATGACCCCCGAGTTCAACTCCTTACTGGATATCCGACTGTTACCACGACAACGACTACCGACTTCATCTTGCATGCTATCGTTTTTTGATGAGGTGAGTCTGCAACTTGATAATTTCACCATGATTGAATTTCTCACGAAATCTGAGATTTTTCACAAACTAGGGTGTATATACAACGGTTTGGATACCTATGGTACCAGTGAACTGCTGTATTGGTTAGCTAACCTTGCGCCGTTCTTCCTGCAGAGTAGCATTCATTGATGCATGCAGAGTGGCATGCAGAGTGGCATTCATTGATGCAACCTGGTCTGCAGAATGTTGCCGAATAGTCCTTATTAGGTGTTGCTTGGTCTGTGGAGTTGAAATAAAATAAAAGGAACACTTACACATCATTAATGCATTCTGCATTTGGTGACCAAACAGATATTGACATTGAAGTGTGTTCTGCGAACAATTATGGTCCAAAGAAAGAAAATATAATGCCCGTACGCTTAGACACGGCGGGAAGTTGAAACACTTTTGTATTTTATACATTCGACCATTATGTATGAGATATTTCAATCGGATAGAGGTTATGCGATACACGTCATATAATTAATTATAGTACGTTCAAACACAGGCTGGATGCATTGTGTGACTGTGAGTGTTGCATCACAGCTGTTACACGCCAGCGTATTGACAGTCTGTTTGGCTACGGCCTGCTAGCGGAATGTGCACGCGCAATTCCTGTGTAAAAGTAACCGTCTTGTTTTAAGAATAATGTCGAATCCAACAACACCTTCCTTCTGTGCTGAACGGTTACATTATGATACCAGTGAAATGCTTCATTTTGGTGCGTTTACCTTTTGCCCTTCTTCCTGCAGAGTGGTGTTGATTGATTCCAACTGCTGAGTAGAATGTTGCTGGATTTCCCTGAAGTGTTCTTTGGTCTGTAGAAAGAATTGAATTAAAATCAAAGGAACTCACTTTCCCCCTGGGCTTGCATTTCATAACCAAACATATGCAGACCCTAAAATGTCTGTTTTGAACATCTACTGTCCAAATGAAGCCAAAACAAATATGCGTTTGCTTAGACACTACGGGAAGCTGAGGCATTTTTGTACTAAATATATTCGATCATTCTATGGTTGGTCATTATGATCACCTCTGATCGCCGCTGGATATTATATTTGCAATAAATGCTGTGTTGCATATGGCAGTTGGATTGGAATTCTTAGAACAGTGTTTTTGATAGCAGTTTTCCTTACCTTCTTCTCCTGTGCTTGCTGAGATATGTTCAATGACATCATCACAGAGTACGGCTGGCTTTTCTCGGATTGGCTATCTCGATGCTGACCGGTGGAATATGCTGCCTTCCACTGTTCGTACTTGTACCGATTACCGCTCATTTATTCGCTCATGCATAACCTTCCTAGGGGCTCCCGTAAGAAGACCATAGGTCTGTGGGAAACACCCTAGTAAAATAAAAGTTAATAATAATAATAATAATAATAATAATCATCTCCTCCCTAATGGAGAGGAGTTTAACCTTGTTCTGCAAATACAGCGCAAACCAATATCCTGTGCGAAAGAGCCAAAACAGTTTTTGCTTGCCGAGAGATAGCTAGACTACACACGCACTCAGGTTGTCTGAGCATGTCAAAGTGTTCATTGCCTAGCTACCGATTTGGATCATTTCCATTAGCTGTAGCTCTGGGAGAAAAGTACACTTTAACGTCAATGCAGACGCCGGGTCCTGTGGCTGCTCTTCCGAGAGGTCAAAGTTTCGCTACTCTCAAAATTCTATTGTCTCACGGACGTAGGTGTGGGATCGTCCCCAAAAAAATGCGTGAGACTCAGTTGGAAGCAGAGTTTTGCGCATCCGTAGGAACGACACCACCCTTCAAGGATCAAGGCGCAGATCCTCCGAAAACTCGATTGATATTAAAATAGGCTGAGTACTGTGAACTGATTCGACTTTCTACAGGAAAATCACGTGAGCTCAATGGAGATTTGGTCATGACATCACGAAGTCAAATCCTTACTGGACATCCTACTGTTTAGAAACAACAACTTCCTACTGCGCTGTACATGTATGCACATGTATCACGTGTTCAGTAGCTGAGTCTGCGATTAAAGTTTCAGCCTGACTGAATCTCACAAGGCGTTTGAGATATTTCAATCGGATAGGGCACATTCACACACAGGCTTGGATGCCTTGTATTATGATACCAGTGAAATACTTCATTGTGGTCCGCTTACCCTTTGCCCTTCTTCCTGCAGAGTGGTGTTGATTGATTCTAACTGCTTAGCAGAATGTTGCTGGATGGCCCTGAAGTGTTGTTTGGTCTGTGGAAATAATTGAATTAAAATCAAAGGAACTCACTTTCCCCCTGGGCTTGCATTTGATAACCAAACATATGCAGACCCTAAAATGTCTGTTTTGAACATATACGGTCCAAATGAAGCCAAAACAATATATCCGTCCGCTTAGACACTACAGGAAGTTGAGGCATTTTTGTACTTCATATATTCGATCATTCTGTGGTTGGTTATTATGATCACCTCCAATCGCAGCTGGATAATACATTTGCAATAATTGCTATGTTGCATATGGCTACTTGATTGGAATTCTTGTACTTAAGTAGTAGTGTTTTCAATAACAGTTTCCCTTCCCTTCTTCTCCTGTGCTTGCTGGGATATGTTCAATGACATCATCTCCTCCCTAATGGAGAGGAGTTTAACTTTGTTCCGCAAATACAGCGCAAACCAATATCCTGTGTGAAAGGAACCAAAACAGTACTGCTACATATGGCTGTAGAGTGTCAGAAAAATTGTTGATTGAGATCAGATAGTTAAAAGACCAAACGAGAATTCCACAAGAGATTGTCACCTGTATTTCCATTCGATCTATCTTCGTCTTCTGCTGGACAAATATGGTTGTCAGTACTTTCATGTCGGAGAGTAGTTTATTGATTTGAAGATCCCTTGCTTCCAGTTTCTCTTCCAGCTGCTTGTTGTAGGTCTTAACCTCTTCGATTTGGTAGCAAAGCCCGCTGTTTGCAGATGATCCGCACACATCAACTAGAACAGGTGAAAGCAAAGCAAAATTCTCCAAGAATATCATGGGTCCGTCCGTAATTATCCAGCACTACTACCAAACGAAACACATTGCATTTAGGCGTGTGTGGGACTGATGTGTCCTTTTGCGCGTACCATTAGGAATCAACTGAATTTTTAGTCCGTTTGAAAGGGATACGGCATGCAGCTTTAAGAGCATCTAAAAGTGATATTGGCATGTCTATGGAGCTGGAAACGACCACACTGCTGAGGTCAGACATTTCCAATGAGCCTTATATCTAGGAGGTCCATCTTGTAGCTATGGAAAATGGGTTCGAATTTTGTTCCATGAGGTGAATGCAGAGTTTTAAAGGAGGTTTAGTGCGTTGAAAACCTAGCCGCCCTGGGGAAACGTGTCGCAGCCTTTCAGCAGTTACCTCGGAAATCTCGGTTACATTTCCTTCAAGCACATTAGGCACATGTCTACTCACATAGTACAGTTCAAGGATTTGACGATGCTCAGAAGGGAACAGAATGAAATCTGAAGATGATTGATGGTGGATTGTTCCTGTCGCGAATACTCATGTTTATGTTTTTCTTATTGAACGAAAGTTCACTATAAAACCAGGGGGAGGGGTGGAGGAGGGGAAATGAATAATAGTGAGGAACGAGGACAATGGGTAGATAGTAGTGAGAGAGGCAGAGTGAAAGATAACATCACATTGTGGTCAGGAGGGAGGGAGCGTGGTAGTGAGGCGCTGGCCTAACCCATTTCATAGGGCGTCGGTGGCTGTTTGCCAGTTCAGGTGCAGCAGATACTTGTGGCCCTTTCCTTGAAGGACTGAAGCTGTCTGGATTGCGGCCGTGCTGGTAGAGTGGTCGTTGGTAGGCTGTTCCACATGGGAATAATGCAGTCTGGGTAGAAACCCTGGAGGCTGCTACGAGTGCGCATGGGCAACGGTGAATTGAGCTGGAGCGGGTGGCAGCAGGCAGTCTCCGTGGCTAACCCAGTGGATCGACCACCCACTGGGCGAGGGTTTGCTGGAGGTGGGAGGATAGGTTTCAGGGGGCTTGTTGTTAGAAGGTAGGGCAGGTGGAAGGTGATCGAAAGCGCAGCAACCAGTCGTCGGTGTTTCATGCTGGGGGGCCCGGCGCCTGGGCCAATATCCTTAGTATCTCTGTAGTCTGTTCATGAATATTGAACTGTCTTCTGCGTTTCAGTCCTTTCTCGACTCCAAAACACACTGTACGCCTGCGGTTTCCTAGACGTGTCGCCCTATACTGCATTCAACACCATCTATAGTGTGACACTTACCTTGGCAGTTAGTACCATCTCCCTTGTACCCAGATTGACAGTAACAAGAGTATGATCCTACAGTGTTATTACACATTGCATGTTCATTACACTCATGAACACCAGTTGTACATTCATCGAGGTCTGGACAGAGAATGTGAATGAAGGGAAAAGTCCGGGTATTCAACCAGTGCAATATACACATGACCATGCTGGCAGAAAGCATGTGGTCGTAAAAACTGCTATTACTAGCCACCGTTCAGTTTCGGCAGTAGGAGCTAAATTGAAATCATATTCGGACGAATAAGCAAAAGCGTAATCATAAGCGAAGCTGTCGACCCATCACACTGCTGCTACACTTCAACTGAACGCAGAAATATTTTGAATTACTCCCACAATGTACTGTTTTACTGGTACTAGCCACAGCGCAATTACTACAGCTAACTAGCACAAATAAAAGGGGGTTTGTCAACTGACAACCGCCATTAATCATTTTTCGACATCATTAAGAAAAGAAATTTCATCTGAAGAGTGAATAGCAACTAAATAGAACGGTTTTCAGTTGAAAAAACCCTTTTATTTACAATGCAGTAGCATGATGTCCACCACTTTCTGAACTAGCTAACACAAGTTTCTCCAAATGTTTAGCTTCATTTGCTCTCTCTATCTCTTTCTCTCTACATAATAATAATAACGACAATAATATTTTGGACAAAAAACTATCCGTATGTGTGTCAGTTTATAGCGGAGCCCGACAACAGTCTTGCTTTCAAAGGCTTTTGTTACAGTAGACAATGGTCAGTTATCATAGAGGAAAACTGGAGCAGTTGAATGGGATTCAACGGGACTGCAGGGTATGACATTCCGTGACGCAGTACTTCAAGTAGGAAATACGAAGTTTGCTTCAATGTTGTCAGGACAAGTATGAATGAGGCTGCCTCCAATTTTAGCCATAACACGCCCAGTGATGTGCCTTTACTTGGCCTCATTGCCGGATTTCCCCAGTGAGTGGTTGTTATTCTGAATTTGGCTTCGAATACATGTAGTTGAACATGCTCCCCGGTAACTCACCATTACAGACTCGTCCGTCGCCTTTGAATCCTGGTTTACACTGACAACCAAATGATCCATGAACATTATAGCAAGTTGCCACGGCTGGTTGGTCACAGTTGTTCAAGTCTGGTTGACTACACTCATCTATGTCTGCACGTACATGGAGTATGCACAAATACAAAATAGAACGATTTACACACAAGTTGAGTTCATAATTACTTGCAAAACGTCCTGGATCCAGCGAGGACAAAGGGCAGATGACACAAGATAGCAATGGAGCAAGGCTATATATGTGCTGCTCCTCTGAGTTTTATGGTTTTTCACCAATCTTCAGCTGTACTAACTGATTTGTGAACAAACAAACAAAATGATCACTCAAACCTGTTATTCAAAAGTTTCAAGGGCTTATTAATTACTTCATAATTTTGCATAATAATTGATGGTTGCTAGTAGTCTGCAATGCAGAGATGTTGTTCTGATGCAAAGATGGAATTTTTTTGTGTGTTGCTGTGTATATAAACGTAATCCTGCATGACACCTACCTGAATCACACCTCCTTCCAGTCAGTCCTGCCGGACAAACACAAACTGCTGATTGTTGTGTAGTGTTGTAAACACATTCTCCGTCAATTGAGCAAGGTAGACGCCTTGTTAAATCAGCTGTGGGGCACGACGGTCGTCGACCTGGATACAATTTGAACGAGGGCAGTAAAGACGTCAGGAAAGGAAAACAGCAAATTGTTGGCCAATTCCAAATTGATTGAGCCGAAATACTGTACCTGGGCGAAGTTACAATGTTCCCCTGGTTCCGGGGCTGGTTGGCATTGTGATATCCTGAAAATGTTGCATGAATTAGTTCTGATGTCTTCAGTCATAATAATATTATATCCTCTAATAATTCGCTCCTGCTCTTGTAGTAGTTGAGCAATCTCATGTGGGGTAGTGCCTTGCTGTTTGCATTACGCAGAGCTCACTGACTTGTCAGTTTGAGCACTCTGGCAAGGTACGTTCGGGCCTGATTAAAATCTGGCTTTGGAAATTTTATGTTCATTGGTATCAGGTTAGGCCTCATTTTCTCTGTGCTGCGCAGAGTAGTTCACAAAGAACGAAACAGCATGCTGTCCGCAGATTGAGTAACTATGGCAACAGCATACTGTCCGAAGATTGAGTATCCTCTACTAAGAGGGGGGTTTCCCCATTACAACATAACTCATCAACATTCAAACTTGGGAGTGTTAAATTAAGGGTGAAACAATAGTACCGAATACTCGAGTACTCGCTCGGTTTTTTCAAACATAATCGTCCTCAGAATAAATCAGAGTACTCGTTCATACATGGTGCCTGCATTGACAGCAGAAATCTGCAGGTTCAGAGCAGCAATCAGTAGATATTGATGTGCAGACTGTGTGGTGAACATTATTTTGTACACAAGTAGAGGGAGCCCAAATGACCCAACAATCGATTTAAGAGAGAAAAATACTGCTAATCGGTTCAATCAGGGTTGTATCATTATGATGTTTAAGACCCTTAGAATGCAATTTGGGAGGTGAAGAATACTCGAATATTCAATTATCGAAAACGATTAGAGTACTCGAAATCAGGATCTCAGGGCAAACTTTCACCCCTAGTAAAAATATTTTCAGCAGCAAGCGGTTACCCTCACAATCCCTTTGTACATGTCCCTGGTTCCTATGGATACAGTCATGGTTGTGAAAGGTCTGGCTTAGCTGAATGGTGGATCAGTTAACACGACGTGTTGCATGGAAAATGATACAGAAACATTTTTGCTTGATGTGATGTTGGTTTCCTAGCAGCTGAACTCAAGAAACAACCTCCTACTTGGATTTTTTGTGTAGTCGAGAATTGCTGCTAGTGAACGCCGGGGAAATATATGGAAACTACTATTAATTCGCAATGGAGGCAAACGCTAGTTGAGGTTTTAAACTAAGTATTGTCAAAAGGTATATGGGCTGCTTCATATTCCTAATGCAGCTAAAGCGACGTAAACACTGGTAACCAATCATGGACTTACAAGTAAAAAAGCTATCAGCTTCCAGCTCAGTCTCACGAGAACCATGAAATTTATTTATTTATTTTTTAATTAAAAAGCAAATCCCACATAAACTACGTCCCTTTGTTGGAGATCATCTGAAAATTGATCCCATTGGTACCCATGTTGCGAGTTGCATCTCAACTCTTTATTTCAATCTTCCCAGAACTGGAAGCCACATGGGTATGATCCGAAACCCTGGCTCCACCACATCTAACACTGCGTGTCACGTTATGGCCAACCTCGGCAATCATTAGAAAACTTCTTGATTCGAGCAGAATCAATTCCTAGGAAAATGTGCAGGGCTAACTTGAGAGGTTGCACACAACGAAAATTTGCATGATTTTGACCGTCCGGGTTCGAGTAACGAAAGTTGCTGCAAAGATGAGTCCAAACTCGACGAATATTCGTTAGCTTTTTTCGTTAAAAATATTCGTTACTGCGCTACAAAATTTCGTTGTGCACAGTCTCTCTACTGAAACAAATCTTACCGCATGTTCTGGGAAGGACAGGGACAGCAGACTTTCTCCACTGACGGGAGAAGCCTAAAAGATCGTGCAGAAATAACAAGGTCTACTTACGGATGCAGTGTTTGAGGTCTGCTGCAAGCTGTGGTGCATAACCCAAGATGAGACTTAAGAAGAATTGCTCTTGGTGCTTGACAACCTTCTCATCTAACATTGCCTGAATGGCAGCTGGTGTATTGGGAATGGTGACAGCTCTTGCACGACCGGAGTTGGCAATCAGTAGCCATTCCGTCATGCAATTGGTACCCTCAGTGACCATCGAAGCTGGTGTATCTATTGACAGAGCGACAAAATATTGGAAAATCGAAATTGAAGATCAGAAATTTGCAAATTACATGTAGGTAGGCACAGCCACAATCATGAATTAGTGCATTGTGACGCCCCGGCTATGTCTTCACACTCCAGGGCTAAGCGTGGAATTTTCTCCAATACAAAATAGAGCTTATGTGCAGTCACTTCTCATCCTTCTACGGGACTACGGGACTACGGGAGTATAATCAATACTTCAAGTATAGGCATATCCGCGTGTAATACCGGTATGCCGCGGCCACAGCTTAGTTTAGGATGAAAGGCTTCAATGAAAGGAGAGAGGAGAGAAAGAAACGAGAGTAGTGGATCAAAAGCCAAGACTTTACAAAATGTTTTTGCCAAGTACTAGTAACCGTGCATTGCTAGGATATCACCAAGATTTAACCACCTAAGACAGGAATGTCAGTCCTACTTGGAGTTTAATGGTGAGCTATCATCAAGATTCCGGATACAAACACATTAAAGCCAAGTAGTGATTTCAGAAGTAATGGTCCGAAAGGCTTCATCCGATCTACAACTTTGTCTCTTCCTGCGCTAATATGTTTCCCTCATGTTGCGTGGTGATGTCTGAGGCATTCATACTTTCTTAGCTCATATAAAACTATTGTATCTATATAGATTGAGTGAGCTATCATCAATATAACACTTGTTCCAGTGCCTGTCAGACTTATCCCCTCACCTCTAACGTCAGGTGCTGCACCTGCCGCTGGATTGTTCGAGTGCTTGGGGCCATCGTGAGTTCCATTCAGTAATGGACACGATAATAATTTATTTACCTTTACTTAAAATTAATTTGTTATCATCAAGATGATGTTCTGTCTTCATGAAACCTATACCAGGTAGTTGTATCCGACTATGCTGACTACAGCGTTAAGGTTCTCCAGCCCGGACAGTGAGAACTGTTTTTCAAAGTGAAAGTCCTCAACTGTGCATCCAGCATTGTTATGTATTATTACCAAGTTTACAATCCCAGGTGAGAAATATCTTCTTCCCATTTGGCTTGGCAAATTCATAATGTCAGCTCTAGGCATATGCGGATAATGCCGGCCGAAAAATTAGCAGAATTCGGTATTTTTCTGGTAAGTTTCATGCATGTTTAATAAATAATAAGGCACCCATTTTGATAGTCATGCAGTTTTTGCCTCTCCCCAGATTTGAAATTTTCCATCGTGTAGGTTCATTCTACTGGCACGTAGCTTGCCCTGTTACCTTCCATTTGACTTTTTAAGTCGGCTGCAGTGGTTTTATCGGTGGTGATTTGGCCTGCTCTGCTATTCTTGAGACCCAGGTGATTCACTGTCCTGCCGGTTCTCCATTGACATTGAAGTTTTAGGCTGCCCTCCCGTTTGTTGAAGCTGGGTGGCTGTGTGTAGCCTTCCTCGTCGGCCTTGTACTTTGGAGACGCTAGTTGCCACACCGACTACGTTGTTGTCACGGACAAGCCCAGTGTGCTGTTTGCGCACCTGGCTTGGCATTCACACTTCTGTTGGATGCTGGGACTAGTGAGAGGCGTGAGAGGCACGCGCTGTTGAAACCACGTCAACACAGCTACAGAGCAATCATGTCGTTCGAGGGGATGGTGCGGGCCTTGGAGGCTCTAGCTGGAACGCCAGCAAGTGCTGCCTCTCTGGAACGGAGGCATGTTGGTGCGAGTGCTGTCAGGGATTGCGCACATGTACAGCCTCGACCTGTGTTTGAGCTGGGAGAGCTGTCGGAGTCACTTGAGAGTGTTGCTTCCAGCGTTGGCGTTGGTACCGGTCGAAAGTCGCCGACACAACTCCCCGCACCGGACTCTGTTGGCATCGTAAATGCAGACCACCTCATGAAACAGTTCCGCACCTGCATGAGCGATCTTTTAGAAGAGCGCATGGAAACGGTCCTAGATTCCATTGCTCGTATCCGTGAGGAGGTGTCAGCCGTCAGTAACTCGTTCAATGGCTTGGATACTCGACTCAATATTCTTGAAAGAAGGCTTGAGAAGACGGATACCGGACCCTTGGAGCAAGCGATCAGGTCGCAAGGCGAAGAAATCCGAGGTGTGGCTGCTAGCGCGGACGTAACTTGCAGTCGAGTAAGGAAGCTGGGGGAGTGCCTGGCTGGCACCCAACCAGCCTGTACCAGTCCTTCACCGCGGGTACATCTACGGCCCGCGCAGGCTGTGGGTGCGTGCCAGGCGCAGATGCACCCCACTCCTACTCCAGGGCTGCGGCTGCGCCGGCTACCGATGGCTTTCGTGCCAAGGCTGCCCAGGCTGCACCAGACAGGACGAATGCAGGCTCAGTAACGGAGCCCCCACTTCAGGCAACGGTGACATATTGCTATCAGAGCCCTGCACGCAAGCACGACCGGTTAAGGGGTGCCAGTCGGCTAAAGTGCAAGGCCGTCTACGTTGGCCGTGTTGATGTCGGTTGCTCGGCAAGTTCAATCGCTAAATGGTGCGAGGACCGCAGTGTGACTGCAATCAAATGCTCAGTATCTGCGGCACGGTATTTTGGTCTGGCGTATGCCCACCTTGTTATTTCGGAGGAGCATTGGCAGAAGGTCCAGAGTCTAGACTTCTGGCCAAGTGGCATTTCGGTTCGTGAATGGCGCTTCAAATCAGACCGCATCACTCAACAGAACTGAGTGCGTCGCTCAATCCACTTGCGCCACCATTCCTTCCTGATTCTGGACGACAAACTAATAAAACTCCCAATCAACCTGCCCAATTACCTTCATCCTTCTCAGTGCTCTCACTTAACTGCCGCTCCATAGTAAATAAGTTAGCTGAGCTTAGTCAAGTCTGTGAGCAGTATTCTCCAGACATAATCTGCCTATGTGAAACGTGGCTGACAGCTGCCATAGACGTCTCAATTCCAGGCTACACGTCATACCGCCTGGACCGCCCACCCACGACCAGCTCTGATAACCTGCCAGCAAGAGGCTATGGCGGTGTTGCTACTCTTGTAGCTGACAGATCGTTCATGTCCATCAAGCGCCGCTTCGACCTTGAGCGCTGTGGACTGGAGGCGGTTTGGCTCGAATTGCGGCCAGTGATCCTTCCCTCACTCCCCCTCATCATCTGCTCTGTTTACAGACCCCCTGGAGACAGCATCTCCCAAGTCCAGGCATTTAGTGACCTCCTAGAGGACTGTCTGTCCAATATTAGCCTCCCCAATTCGGCGATTGTACTTTCAGGAGACTTGAATGCTCGCCACTCTGACTGGTCTCCTAGTGACACCACGAATCGTGCTGGAAGGGAGTTCCGTAACCTCTTCTCTTGTTTTGGCCTTGAGCAAATGGTGACATTCCCCACACACTTTACCCCCACGGCTCAACATCGTGTATTGACGTTGTACTCACGGATCATCCTCACCTACTACTCTCTGTTACATCTGTTGCTCCTCTTGGTGCATCTGACCACGCACAGATCCTCAGTCATTTCCTACTGCCTACTGATGCTGTTTACCGTGAGGAACCTGCTGCAAGCGGACATCCCGCTGCTGCACCCCGAAGCCAGTTCAGCAATGTTCCTGCAAAGCCGGAATATGACTTTACCCGTGCCATCTTCCGTCTGGGATAGTGTGAATGCAGAGCTCTCTGATATTGACTGGAGCTGGCACCTGCGTGCCAGCAACGTCAATGATGCGCTTTCGCACTTTTCTTCCATTCTCAACAGTGCCCTTGAGAAGCACCTCTGGCCATTCGGAAAGCAGCCGTATTCTCACCGCTGCCCACGGCCCAGTCAGCCACCCTGGGTTGATGCCCATGTCCGCACAGCAATCAAGTGGAAATATGATCTCTATAGCATTTTTAAGAAGTACCCAACACAACAAAACAAACAAGCATACCAACAGCAGCGACATAGTGAAAACCCTGACGCGGACAAAGTACAGAGCTTATATCCGCTCAGTGCAAACTACTTTGCAGGGTAGACACCGTCCATCGCTTCACCAGTTTGTGAGACAAGCAAGAATTCGAAACGTATCACGAGAAATTCCGTCACTCACAACAGGGACTCAGCAGGCGGCTGACCCTTTGGCCAGAGCTACGGCATTAAACGCCCAGTTTGCCTCTGTGACTCGGCCAGATGACCCGTTGCTCTCTATTCCCCCTATTCTCACCCCCTCGGAGCCCTCAGCTTGTTTCACGTCCGTCATCACCACAACTGCCACTGTCCGGCGTCATCTGAAGAAGCTTCCGACGTGCAAGGCGTCTGGTCCTGACGGCATCCCCAACCGGGTCCTCAAGGCCCTGGCACCATCCATAGCATTCCCTTTGTGCCATATTTTCAACATGTCATTTACCACGGGCATATTCCCTTCCGCATGGAAAACAGCGAAAGTCATACCTGTATTCAAGAAAGGTTCCCGTCACGAACCTGCAAACTACCGCCCTATCTCTCTTCTTCCCTGCGTGTCCAAAGTATGTGAACGCATCTTTTATGACCACTTATACAGACATGTTTCGCCGTTTCTGAGTCCCGCACAATCTGGGTTTCGTAAAGGCGACTCCACCTCCCTTCAACTGACCCGCATCGTGCAGCAGGTGTGCCAGCATAGGGATAACAGAGCGCTTGCTGGCATTTGCTTCTTTGACTTGGCCAAGGCTTTTGATACCGTCTGGCATCGAGGACTTTTGGCAAAGCTCGAGCATGCATTCAGGGTACGCAAACAACCACTCTCCTGGCTGAAATCTTATCTCTCTGGGCGTTATCAGTACGTAACTGTGATTGGCACATCCTCGGCTGCAGAGCCAGTATTGTCAGGCGTTCCTCAAGGATCAATTCTTGGTCCCCTACTATTTATAATTTACGTAAACGACTTACCAGCAGTCTTCCCTGGAACGTCTCTGTTTGCTGACGACACGACCCTTCTCACCTCATCAGCTTCCCTCACTGGCCTGAAAAACAACTTGCGTGCTGGCATTCAGGAAGTTCTTTCCTGGATGTCGTCCTGGAGGTTGTCCCCAAATCTATCAAAAACAAAGATCATGCTCTTCCCGCCCCAGCCGGAGTTCACAACCCTCATCCATGCCAACTTTCCAAATCCAATTGACATAGTGTCTTCTCACAAACACCTTGGCATTGTGATTGACTCTGCACTCTCTTGGGTACCTCACATCGAATATATCTGTAAAAAATCAAGTAAATCCTTAGGAATTCTCTCCCCCCACTGCTCCTACCTTCCACTTTCTTGCAAGCTTCTTTTTTATTTAGCCTACCTTCGCCCAATATTCGATTATGCAGATACGTCTTGGGTTGGGTTATCCTCTTCCGCTGCTGCAAAGCTTGAAGTACATCAGAAGAAAATCCTTAAAATTCTCCTCCGTCAACCCCGCATGCTCTCATCATCCGCCCTTTATAAAATCGCTCACACAACCCCGTTATCACATGGACGCAGTGCACACCTGGCTTCTCTTGTCCATTCTATTAAGCTTGAGTTGTGCCCACCTCATCTCATGTGTTTTAATTGGTTCTCTTCTCTAAGAACTAGAAACTCGCTCTTACTCCCTAAGTGTAACTCATCCACTCTTTTGCGCTCCCCTCTCTTTATTGCTTATTCTGTTTGGCTTACTCTACCCAGAGAAGTTAAGGACCTGACCTCACTCCGCCTTTTTAAGATCCGTGCCGCCACCTATTTACTACGACACACATAGCTCATTATCCACATGTCCTTTGCGCCTCTGTGTTTTTCACTGTTTTTATCTTTCTTTACGAAGTTGTTGTTGCTGTTCGTTTTGCTACTCTTTCTTTTTCCCTCCCCTTATTTCTATTTGTCGCCGTGGTTGGCAATCACCCACTGTCGTAACATTGGCCGGTATTTTCGCCGAGTCTTCGAGATGTTGTAATAAATAATAATAAGGCCAAAACAAAAAATAGGCTTGTTTCCGGTCGGCAACCCCTCAAAAAGGAGACTCGGTCGGCCGGAATGAAACTTTTTTTGGATACTTTTTTTGGTTCCTCAATCGTTGTGGCATTGATGGACAAGAGCACCTACACATGTACATTGTACATTATATCATGGCAAGGATCAATGTCAAAGTTGACTGACTCACTGTTCTTGTACAGCATGTGGTGTATTCCTGTTTTCGTACATCCTGAGAAATCAAGCAAACAGTTCGAGTCCTTCCAGCTCCGTTATTCTAGCTCGTATCGACCCCGGAGGTTTTCGAGCCGCCAGCTGAGAATCTCTGCTACCTTGTAGGTGTTTCAATTGTGGAATTCGGTTGAGATTTGACTGAGTTATGACTCGTTTAGTGCACTTGCACACATGGCATTGCCACCGTTTGCATACATTTGGGACCAAAAAAAAGTTTCTGAATTTCTGAATTTGGGAAAAAGTGGCCCGGTCGGGCGACCGGAAACAAGGTCATTATTTGTTTTGGCCTAATAATAATAATTTGAAACTCGGATGTTGAGCCATAAATAAGTGTGGAAGAGAAAAGACATATGGATACGAGTTAAGAGTAACTCTCCATCACTGTAACATGATACTATATACAGTCAGAAAGTGCAATAACTAGGCACAAAACTGACAGAGTACTGAAACATTCGACGTCCTGACACCTAGCTTCAACACATCTCCGTAGCGCTAACCGACAGCCTTCCAACTTGGAAGGTTCAAGGTTATGGAAAGACCAAAGAGGGGAAGGCAAGCGCAACGAAAACGAGCAAAAGCTACAGTCCCAACGGAACAAAGAATGTCGATTGTTACCCTCTTTGGTCTTTCCATAACCTTGAACCTTCCAAGTTGGAAGGCTGTCGGTTAGCGCTACGGAGATGTGTTGAAGCTAGGTGTCAGGACGTCGAATGTTTCAGTACTCTGTCAGTTTTGTGCCTAGTTATTGCACCTTCTGACTGTATATAGTATCATGTTACAGTGATGGAGAGTTACTCTTAACTCGTATCCATATGTCTTTTCTCTTCCACAATAATAATAATGTTTGGTATTTGGATAAAGAAATGGAGCAGAATTCGAGGAATTGCCCGCCATAAGGTTTGTATGGTTCTGCCAATTCCACTGCTTTTCGAACAGTATCTGCTACCTTTTCGAGCATTTTCCCCACACCTCTAGTCAGCTCGTCAAAATGGCAATAATGATTTCAAATTTTACATGTTTTGTTCAATATTTATGCACTTTAGAAAAATTTGGGTACAAGGTATGCTCTCGAGTCCACCAGCTAAAACAGATTTTGAACAGTCAGACGTGCATAATCTAGAACAAAAGCACGTTGGATTGCTCTTTACTTGGCTCACAATCTGAGTACCATTACTTGTACAAATTATGTACTTTTGATGATAATTGGGGAATTTTCGCGAAGATTACGCCTGTTGCCTGGTTACATCTTTCATTTTCGGGAAATTAAACTCCTCCAAACACCTTCACCACGCACTCGCTTCTGAATAGAACGAAATTAATGATAACTTTCAATTCAAACCCTTCTTTTTGCATCCATTTTTTCCCAAAGGCTTATTGCCAATTTTTGCGAAAGGTGAAACGATATCCACGCGAACTAGTGGTGGATCTGTATGCTTTTGCAATATACAAAAGCGAGAATTCCCAGAATTCCTAAATTGCTTAACAGCACAAGGATGGAGTAATACCACAAATGCAGACGAAACAGAGACAAGAGTCCAGATCGGTGTTGTAAAGCTGCGTTTCATTCATACATGTACATATCAAGGCTAAGGTAAACCTCAGACAACTGACTCAGTTGTCTGAGGTTTACCTTAGCCTTGATATGTGCATGAAACGCAGCGTTTCAACGATGATCTAACTGGTTTGCTCTGTTGTCTTGTACAATCTACAATGTACACTGTACATGCATTACTTTCTTGCATGCACTTAGTCGCTGGCTGCTTTGACAAGTTCCTGTCATACAGCTGTCAACAGACCAGCCCAGTGCAGTAGTGAGTTCAGCAGGGGATGCATGACGTTATCAGTTTATGCTTTGGCTCAGAGACCATACAGTACTGTTAGTGAGTTTTACGCTACAGTGCTGCTGCAGTACCTGTACATATGTACACAATACAATGGAGACAAAATGCTGTGCAGCTGTAACTTCAAGTCTTGGCCATCATCACACAGCCGCAATTGGATGCATGCCGAATGCTGCTGTATGATAATCAATGAAATGAAATTGGAATTTACAGCCACACCGGCTTCCGCCTCCATTGTATGTTAATACTGATCTACCAATTAGTTCATAGAGCACTCAGATTAAAGCTGCCCTGACGAATCTGAATGTTTAGTTAGTCCTTTAAAATTGTTTCTGACCAGTCATAATATTATTGAATTGAGTTTCATGCACATCACACCGCTGATTGCCATAAAGGTCAACACACACACAAGATAACAATGTACATGTACGTCGTCTACAACGTACGTGGTGTTCGACTGTTATCAAACTTCTTACCGCCATCATCCGGCACCACTGGTGTTGGTGAGGCCATAGCCTGTCCACAGTTCACCGTCATCACCAGCAGCAGCAGCAATGGAGCCAGATACAGTAGTAGGCATGCCATGATACTGCCTAGCTGTAGGCCGCGCATAGCTACACCTGATACCAGAGGGTAGTTCGCAGTATCACTAACAAACTACTGGGTTAGCTATCGGACTCGAGAACACCTGATGATCAACTGGAGAGGAATTGGTTGAGAAACAAGAATTGTGGGCCAGTCAACGTTTTTAGCATCTAATATTCTAACTCACTGCCGCTCATGTACATTCATACGTTGAGCGGAGTAAAGCTTGAATATGCACATTGCGGCCTTGACGACTCCAAATCCGTGCCTGGAACGGCGATCGCGAGTAACCTCACGCCCTAGTAGTGACAACCTGTCTGGTTCCAGAACATGACATTGACAGTTTTGCACACAATAAACCAGTCCATGGCTGACAAAATAACTTTGTCCTACATCACGTATACTCACGCCTGTACACAGCTAGCTAAACATGACCATAGTGTTTGCACTCTTGCAGTTGCTAAGTGATGTGTCCTACTCCAAGTACATCTACGAGTCTACTAGATGCACATGTGTAGCGGGCCGCAGTCTCTCGGAGGCAAAAATACAAGGATCTCAGTGAACACACTGCAACTGGCAATTGAAATGTACTGGAAACTGGAAATGAAATTAACTATAACTGATTGGCAACTAAATTAACTAACTAACTATAAAAGAATAGTGCGCAGCAGCTTTGATACAAAGGCAGACTCCGTACGCTAATGTACGGGGATACAGTACGGGGATATGTTATACTCTAAACACTATACGCTTTGAAGTCCCCAGCGTGCCAACGATACACATGTTCAACACTTCCTCTGTCCTCCAATTGTTTGATGTACATGTTCATGTGGTTACTGTAAATGTATTCAAGCTCGACCAGATTTAGCAACACCAATATTATACCGTTCTACCTACCAATGATCGACACTGACCCACGCTGCTATCTGGTGTCACGTGGTGATTGTCGCACCACTGGAAACTGAGTGTCTCTGTACGTTTCCAGCCCTGGTGATGTTTCCAGCCCTGGTGATGTTTCCAGCCCTGGTGATGTTTCCAGCCCTGGTGATGTTTCCAGCCCTGGTGAGGTTTGCAGCCCTGGTGATGTTTGCAGCCCTGGTGAGGTTTGCAGCCCTGGTGATGTTTGCAGCCCTGGTGATGTTTCCAGCCCTGGTAATGTTTCCAGCCCTGGTGATGTTTCCAGCCCTGGTGATGTTTCCAGCCCTGGTGATGTTTCCAGCCCTGGTGAGGTTTGCAGCCCTGGTGATGTTTGCAGCCCTGGTGAGGTTTGCAGCCCTGGTGATGTTTCCAGCCCTGGTGAGGTTTGCAGCCCTGGTGATGTTTGCAGCCCTGGTGATGTTTCCAGCCCTGGTAATGTTTCCAGCCCTGGTGATGTTTCCAGCCCTGGTGATGTTTCCAGCCCTGGTGATGTTTCCAGCCCCGGTGATGTTTCCAGCCCTGGTGATGTTTACAGCCCTGGTGATGTTTGCAGCCCCGGTGATGTTTGCAGCCCCGGTGATGTTTGGAACCCAGAACATTATACTAACCCTGTGGTGGTGCTCTTCGAACAGAATCTTCCTCGGCCTACTCAAGCTCAACTGTTGAAACGAGGATTCCCGCAAACATGACGCATTGAGCAGGGAGTGGTGCTTTCCTGGTGAAGTCAAGTCAGCGGGAAAGTGCCAGCTCCGGTGTACGGAACAACAAACGTTGATATGATTGGAAAAAGAATTTCGCATGAAAATGACGAATGGATGATGGATGAAGAATGAAATATTTTGAAGTTGAAATCGGATACTGGGACATTACTAGATGTACTTCTGGTGTAAAATCGATGAAAACACATGAGAACTCGTTATATAACAACTTTAAAATCCAAAACTGTAGCAAGATAACAAGTAGTCAAAAGGGGCAGATCGTTGAAGGTCTCAGTTGCCTGTCAGTTTTGTTCCCTTTCATTGTACTTTCTGACTGCTTATTATCTTGTTACAACCGTCGATAGTTTGTTTCATAACTAGTTCCCATTTGTTTTCTTCTCTTTTTGATGGATGATGAATGAATGCTTTCACACGAAAATGATGAATGGTGCTTCCAGTTGGCGACACAACTCAAGAACATGACCCTCAGTGTACATGTCCTCCTTCGCCTCAGCGCTGAACTTGAGATGCGACCATCCATAGCAAATACCTGTTATCTGTTGCTACTGTGCCACTATTACCAGTTCTAGCACTGTGCGTGTACTTCAAGTACATGTACAGCATTTATGAATGTAAGTAGCACTAATTTATGGAAGAAGAAAAAAGGACCAAGGAACTACAAGTTACGCTATAATGTCCACCAGTGACTAAACAATCAGATCATGCTATAACCTGGCATGACACAGACCGACGGTACTGACGTTCCACAACTAACTGGCTAACAGCTCTAGCACATCTTGGATGCGCACTCCCACAGCCTTCCAACTTGGAAGGCTCTAAGTTATAGAAATAACACATAAGGAGGTGGTGTTAAGTAGTGGTTGCGACTTCGGCGATGATTTGTAAGAAAGGGTTTGCTCCCCACACCGGAGCTCGCGCTATTCCGCCGACTTTACTTGACACTTGACTGACTCACGACTGCCATCCAGAGCACACGAGAAGTCCATCGAACCTTCGACTCGGCAAACCTGCACGAAAGCACCACTCCCTGTTAGTGGACATTATAATGTAACTTGTAGTTCCTTGGTCCTATCTTTCTTCTATAAATCAATCCTTGGTTCTCCATCCGAGTTCATTCCTGCAAGTAACGTAAGTACTTTCCAGATTTTGTCGTGGTGATCTAAACTCATTTTGTTATTTTAGAACGTGGATTTGAATGTTGTCGAACACTTTTGTTTATTTTGTAAGTAAAATATGTTACACGTGCATGGGCATGTGCATGCAAACGTACGTCGTTAAAGGCCGGAGGCCTGACACTTGGATCCACTGTAACTTGAATCCAGTGCTGCATTGTAAGTCTCAGCATTGCAACACATGCTACATGCTATGTATTGTAAGTCTCAGCATTGCAACACATGCTACATGCTATGTATTGTAGTTTGACGTGCATGTTCTGGTAAAACTCCACCGCACCTAACACGTGACCTTTCAAAACTGTCACTATTATGCTACGGTAGTGCTGGTTCAACTAAAAAAAAGGCTCAACTCTCTGCGTTACAATCGTCTTAGTTACCTAGGGAGCAAATGTATTGGTTTGAACCTACGTGCTCGTCTCAATTTGTTGTCGCATACAATTCTAACAATCACCTGGCAATTGTCCTTGGCATGCTCATACATGTATTGCTGCCAGACCAGGAAAATGTAGATACAGTCATAATGTTGCATTTCAAGTAGTTACTGAATCTGCGGACAGAACTGTTTCGTCCTTTGTGGACTCAACGGCGCAAAACAGAGAAAATTAGGCAGAACCAGATACCGGTAGTAATGAAATGTAAAATTTCCAAAAGCAAGATTTAAAGCAGGCCCGAACGTACCTTGCCGGGCTGCTCAAAGTGACAAATCCGTGACCTCTGCATAGCGCAAACAACAAAGTCACTACCCCACACGAGAGTGGTCAACTCCTACAACGTCAAGAGTAGGAGCGAAATACTTTTAAAATCTACGGACAGAACTGTTTTGTCCTTTGTAGACTCATCAACGCAGCACAGAGAAAATGAGGCGGAACCTGATAGCAATGAAAAATAGAATTTCCAAAGCCAGATTTAAACCAGGCCCGGATGTACCTTGCCGGAATGCTCAAACTGACAAGTCAATGAGCTCTGCATAATGCAAACAGCAAAGTCACTACCCCACACAAGAGTACTCAACTGCTACAAGAGCAAGACTACATGTATAATAGTGAGCGACGACCAAATAAAATCATTCTTCCCAAATTTAAATCATTGTCTAAGTCTCTCTTCATTTTCCGAACTGCTATTCTATGGAACTGTTTACCCCCCAGTCTAACATCGGAAGCCTCGCTCTATAAGTTCAAAGCTGCCCTCAGGAAATTTACAGCTGACTATGCTTATGCAATCAACGGAATTCCGCCACCTTGCAGTTGATTTTCCCCATTTCTCTCCTCATCAATCCCTACTTCTCTTTGTACATACATCTACATCTACTGTTGTTTCAATCAAATGAACCCCTCGATAGGCACATTGCCTTTGGGTCATTTCATAATAATAATAATAATTATAATTTTATTAACTGGCTCAATATTCGACTTATGTCTCGTTATGAACTGACAAGTGACAAGGAGAAGGAGGGGCACTCCGGGAATTTTTACGGTAGTGTGTTCTCTTCATGGGGGCCTTATATGGCCTCCAAGGAATGGGGAATCGCGAAAACTAGACCCAAAAAGTCGATATAATTATGAAGCCAGGGAGGGCCAAGTTTGTCTGCTCCGCGGAGGGTTTTGATGACGTCACCTGTGATTAGTATTCAAATTCCCTGCATTTGAAGGTGTTAGTTGTTTGCATTTTCTGGTGATGAAGAACGATGTTTGGTCGACATTCCCAAGCTTCACAACTGCAGCCATACTCCAAGGAACCCGAAGGGCCTCCTCAGGTGTCCCTGGTAGCAGCGCAGCGTGATGAGGGCCAGGAGATTGGAGCAGACGACTTCACTGGTCGACAAGGAAGAACCGATTGGTGTTCCTGCTAGAAATGTGGAGTGATGCAGAGGGCAGTCGATTGCCTTTGCTGTCGAGAGAGCGATGGAGCTGTTAGCATTGACAGCGCTTTGACATGCGCTACGCATCACCCCGACTTCACGTTTGCTTGTCTAAACATGTACCAGCTCCCAAACGGATCCCTCCTCCTGCTCGCGTTTTCGATTGAGGTAAAGTGATTCCTTTCGAGGCCGTTTTCAACGTGGAACTAGACTTTGCAGACATGCCTGAACTCTAAAATAACGTAAGCAATGCACCCTCCACGCGACGAGCTTACGAGGTCGATTTTTGCCTGACTGGCTGCTCATCGCTCCGCTAGCCATAAATTCGCTCATCAGATTGAGCTGAAAGCAGGTCCGTTCAAAGTGGGCTGAACACAAACGATCCCAATTTATTGGCTCCAAGAGCTTGTGCGTTTTCCCACCGGCGACTCGAGCTGCTCTACCCATGTTTTTGACCTATGAAAGCCGCAACTCAGCGTCGTAGGAAACGTAAACCTCGTCAAAATTGTGCATGCC